TCTTCTTATTGTCCCATCTTTAAGACTTAAGATGTAAAAGCAATATTTTCTTCTTCTTCTTCTTTAAGACTTAAGATGTAAAAGCAATATTTTTAAATCATTTTCTTCTTCTTCTTCTTCTTCTTCTTCTTCTCATTGTCCCATCTTTAAGACTTAAGATGTAAAAGCAATATTTTCACATCATTTTCTTCTTCTTCTTCTTCTTCTTCTCATTGTCATCATTTTCTTCTTCTTCTTCTTATTATTTTCTTCTTCTTATTGTCCCATCTTTAAGACTTAAGATGTAAAAGCAATATTTTCACATCATTTTCTTCTTCTTCTTCTTATTGTCCCATCTTTAAGACTTAAGATGTAAAAGAAATATTTTCTTCTTCTTCTTCTTCTTTAAGACTTAAGATGTAAAAGCAATATTTTTAAATCATTTTCTTCTTCTTCTTCTTCTTCCTCTTCTTATTTTCTTCTTCTCAAAGACTTAAGATGTAAAAGTAATATTTTCTTCTTCTTCTTCTTCTTCTTATTTTCTTCTTCTCAAAGACTTAAGATGTAAAAGCAATATTTTCTTCTTCTTCTTCTTCTTATTTTCTTCTTCTCAAAGACTTAAGATGTAAAAGCAATATTTTCTTCTTCTTCTTCTTCTCATTGTCCCATCTTTAAGATGTAAAAGCAATATTTTTACGTCATTTTCATCTTCTTCTTCTTTCAAGTACTTGAGATATTCATTGGTTGTAGGTTACTAGGTTTGATACCATGCTATATATTCCTATAATGACATAATATAATTATAATTAAAGTTACAATATAATGTAAAATTATAACTGTACCACTTTTGACTCATCACCAAAATGTATTAAAATAATTACTTTTTATTTCTTAGAACAAAAAACCATTCCATTAATTTTTTACCGATATAACTAATCTATAGAGGATATATCACTTTCTGGTCATCAGTACAGGGGGTCAGTTTCTCTCATATGGACCACAGCAACAGGATTGAAAGGTATGATCAGGGTAAGAAAATCATGCACTGGTGCTCGGCTGCCATTGGAAGGAAATTGACCTCACAATGTGTTCCTCGTTGTATTTTCCCCTTTTTCTTTCCTTTTCGCATATAATTAACAAAAATTTCTTTTTTAGGTCTTAACTGCATGCAATTTAAACTATAAAAGTATTTAAATATCTTTATCTAAGTAACATGTTTTAATTTGAAGTCATGCAATATGCAAGTACAATGAGGCAAGGCGATAAAGAAACTCACAATATGTTTTTATTATTTAGGTATTCCTTTATTTAGTTCTGAATACTATTTATTTTCTTGATATAAAGTGCAGTATTAATAACCCCAAGTGTTAGATTTATTGATAACTTAAGTTTTGGGTTCAATTCTTAAAGTTTACATAATAAAATTAATTTTTTTTCAATACAATAAATTATGTGGGGAGTATGTCTTTAAAATTACTAAAGAAAAACTAATGAAATATGCACAAATTAATTGAAAAATATCCGAAGTGTTGAAATGAGAAAAATAAGTGCAGCATCAGTTTTGTCACCATAATTAAAGGTTACTAAGCAAGCTTGCTCGGTAACCAAATGATTAGAAATTTAAAAGGGGACATCAACTGGGTCCCATTAAACGGCATCATGTAATTGAATTTGAATCCACCTTGCCATATGGTCCATATGATATGGATTTCCCAATAATTTTTCTCAGCAATAGAAATTTGCTGACTTTGAGAAAGATGTTCCCATCATCCAAATCTAAACTTAAGTAATATTTAAAAAAAAAA